TAGCACAAGCAGCCACCCACGTGCATGCACGTCACTATATAAGTGCAATAACCTTGGACGCGACGTTTAAACCCAATTTCACCTCACCTCACAATGTTCCAACACATGGGCGGTGGGTTAGCCTAGTGGTTAAAACGTTCGCTCGTCACGCCGAAACCCGGTCGTGATTCCCCACATGGTACAATGTGTGAAGCCCATTTCTGGTGTCCCCCGCCGTTATATTGCTAATATTGCTAAAGGCGGCGTAAAACCATACTCACTCCATCACCTACTCTGAAACGCTGAGAAACGTTTCACGATCCCACACAAATATGTATGTAAATGTATATACTACTTTCTCTTAAACACGGGCGGCCACGTCTTGTGGACCGCAATTCGCTTTGAAGAGTTGTGTCCCTTAGTTATGCCAGGATCCTATGATCGTGGGATCGAGGCTCTTGGTTGCGATTCTTTTGTTGTCAGCACCATGCTCGTGATCCCGGGGTTCACACACATGACCTACATCACATTGGGCGTTCCTCCCACATCAAGCTGACACTCCTGATACGGCAGGTATTGTATTGAAAGCAGCGTGAAACCTGACTCAATTATAGCTTTAATAAAATGCCGGAGAAAAGAAAGTACACAGGTGAAAATTGGATTTTGCAAAAAAATGAACAACGTCATCAAAACGTTACCAGGCTGAAAACAGTAACCGGAACACTGCAAACTTAAGATCGCTTCCCGTCTCAAACACATCACCGTCGAAAAACAATTTCTTTTTTGTTTCATTTTTAGCAACAGTCATGAATGGATGTTTTGGTTTCCTTTGCCCGTCACTTTATATATTTCCAGTGAGTGAGTGAGTATTGGTTTACGCCGCTTTTAGCAATATTCCAGCAATATCACGGCGGGGGACACCAGAAATGGGCTTCACACATTGTACCCATGTCGGGAATCGAACCCGGGTCTTCGGCGTAACGAGCGAACGCTTTAACCACTAGGCTACCCGACCGCCCTTTATATTACCAGGTATCAACTTGTTTACAAATTTCTATATAAGAACAAATCTTATAAATTGAGTTTCACACTGCTCCATGGTTTAGTTGACGATGTTTCGTTTTTAATTTAGTAGATTTTAAGCAATAATAGCAATCGCATTAGGGACCACGCATACGGTTTCATGATTATTGCCCTTATAATTGTGACGTGCATTCACGCGCGCACACGGGTGTCTCTGTGTGTGGCTGCCTGAACTAGTTCGGACTAATGCCGGTTTTATAGTGCCAGTCTACTGAGATACCATACGGCAGTTTAACGTGGATACCCCACTCAGACATAGTGTAGTGACTCCGAGCTGACCAGCTCTTGTTTTAGCTTCTTAATGCCGAGCGCCAGGAAGGGTAACAACAAGTACAACCTTTTCACGTTATTTTGTTATGACGCGGCCCCGAATCGAACCACTAAACTCCCGTCGGGCGAAGCGCTATCCACTAGACCACGGTGGCGGTGGGAAATAGGCAATGTGCAATCAGGTCGATTACGTTTTATCGAACACCGACGTGATTGATCGGTTTTTTTATATGTTCGATCGCCCAGATTATAGCAGTTTCTGCCCCGCGTGATATAGGTACATGAATAATACAAATAAGCGTAACGTTACATTTGCTCACTCACGTACTCACTCTACCCACGAAATAAACAAGGTTCTGTTTATCATACAGGAACGGGGTGGTCGGGTAGCCTAGTGATTAAGGCGTTCGCCCGTCACGCCGAAGACCTGGGTTCAATTTCCGACATGGGTACAATGTGTGAAGCCCATTTCTGTTGTCTCCGTCGTGATATTGCCGGAATATTGCTAAAGCGGCTTAAAACTATACTCACTCACTCACTCACTCACACAGGAACCTATTTCACAAAGGGTACAATACATCTATATTCTTGAAATCATTATTTGACAAGTTCAAGTGTGTATTAAAGAGACTGGTCTCCTCAGGTCACTGAAGGTATTGGCACTCCTCATCAGCAGCATGACTTGTTCTACGCGTTGATGTGAAGGATGATGCTGATGGTGAGTATTTACTCCGATCTGTTAAACAGAATGTGGACGACAGGTGTGCTTGCAGGTGTTATACTTTCTCCGAATTAGGTTTACACTATTGGTGTGTGAATAAAATTCACTGTTTTGAACGCTGTTTTTCTTTATGCTTTACAGAACATTATCATAATGTCACCGCAAAAGAAATATTATTTTTTTTATTTCAACAGAAACACAACATAAAACCACAAAGTTAAAAGTAAATAATTAAATAAACACCAAAAACTGGAAAAATTATTCTCATCAAGAAAACAAAGAAAGAAATAGTTTTCAAAGAAAGAACGAAAGTAACACAAGTTTACACTGGTCTATAAATCGTCAGTGTCGTAAGTTAAATTGATTCATCCTTTCATTTATTGAGATATAATATATGCATATACGTCTTAAAATATATTTTTCCGTGCATATCGCTTTGTTATAGATGTTATATATGTCAGCGTATACCATTGTACGTCACACTCTTTGCATCGAACTTGAACATGACCGTAAAAATGCAAACTATTTATTCGCAACAAAATCAGCACAGCCAAAGTCATTGCTACAGAAGGTCCACCTCTTATTTGAGACAAATGGTCAGTGGAACTGGTCACTCGACAGTGTGATTCAACCCAAAGCGCCGAACAAAAGAGGCTAGCACCGTCTGTCAAAGCTCCTTCACCTTTGCCCGCGTTTCGTATTAGGTCAAATTACAATGGATCGATACAAATTTATACGCCAGTCGCTTATGTGAATTCAGTGAGGAAGAAAATCGCTCAGGTTGCCAAGGACAATATGGAAATCTAGACTGTATTTAATGTGAAATTATCCTCCATTTTCTTGTAACCTCAGACCCCGAGTCGATGGCCAGATTCGGGCGCCATCTTTGAAACGGATACCACGTGACCTATAACCTCCAATCAGCAATTCACGTATTGACCCTTCAGGCCTCAATGTGAACGAACGGTATTCGTTAATATGTTTATGATTGATTTTCAAGGTAATTATTGTACTGAATGCCAATTTTTCTCGTCATTCTCTATTTCAAATATCATTTTTCCAGGATGTGATTATCAGAATATCGAAAGTGATTAAAGATTTATGAAATTAACCAGACTATGAAATTCAATATTTATTATACAAAAGCGCGGCTGCGTTCGATACACACGTCATGGTTATTCTGCAGTTAGCAGAACTTGGCTAAACGAGCACTTACATCAACAATGATGGAAGACCTGGCTAATTCAGGTTGACAAATTTTAAAGTGGAAAAGAAAGAAATGTCATGTTTAATCTTTAATCTCATCCAATACCCATTTTAGCCAAATGTGAGTCACAATGAAAACACTCCTCTCTCTGTTTCCATGCTCGTTCAAAATGAAAATCATCACAAATTCGTTAACCGTTGTGAAAATATACACTAGGGACGAGGCTAATCAATGGCTTTCCTTAGTAATACTGAAAGGGAACATGTAATTAAAATTGAAATAAACATTCCTGAAATAATATGCTCACTTTCATATTCATATAACGGATTAGGTTTCATACGCGTCTTTAATTGCTTAATGATATAGGATTATTTTAACTATTGGTATGGACCCCACACAAATGTCGCCCCCATCTTATTGAATTAACGTTAGGAAGTATTTTGCATTTATCTGATTACGATTTGTTTCTTTAATGCTCTAAGAATATAAAGCCTACAAATCAGAGAGTGATAACATTGAAACTGCCAGGGAAAATCAAGTATACACCCATGCTTGATGGTGGCTAAAATATAACAAAAAAGAAATGGTTATTCAATGGTGATTTATTTGATGAGGGTATCATTGTTGTGTTTTTCACCTTAATTTGGCAGTGTTTCAGACACTCTTCATCAGCTTAGTTATGATATGATAACGAATGTATATTTCTTTTGTTAAATCTACTTTTAAAGTATATACTTTCTTTTTTTATACATTTATGATATATATTATATTTCATGGTTTATCTCAGAACGGTCCGACGTCAAGACCGTTAAGACCAAGATTGTATTTCACATATTAATTTCGTTGATTCTGCGCTAAAACGTTTTGATCATTGTTTATCTATGTAACGAAGCGTCATTGTATGACGTCAACGACAAAGGTTTATCGAAATGGCAGAAATTCTGTGCCACAACCCTTGTTGTCCGAGTATAGAAATATAAATTTCATACTACTCAAAATAAGTTAAGGACCACCTGATTCTTTCATATTACTTAAGTCAATCTGTTTCGGCATGACAGATTAACAATAGTAATATGGCAGAATTCTCTTCTTTTGAGTAGTGAGGTCTGAAGTCCAGGGTGAAACTTCTACGTAAAAACATAATTCATTTCTATACACAATATTAAGTTCCATAAATATGATGGGCCATTGGGTAGCCCTGTGGATAAAGCATTCTTTCGTCTCGACGGAGACCCAGGTTCGATTTCAATATTGGTAAAATGCACGAAAACAATATACTTCCACGACCCATGGGGATTTAAGGGACATCTATATTGATCTGTTGTGGTGAGGGGTCTCGAGAGCCTAAATTGTCTAAGTCAGAAAAGTCAGTACAGAGTTGCTTCCCTTAGGTGTACCAGAATCCTATTATTGTGGGTTCGAGATATGCCTTAACAATGATTTTCGGTGTGTGGATCACGCCTAGTATCTGCATCTCCTCACGCTCTGAAAAAAATCGGGTTCCTTAACTTTGTTTGAGTAGTATATATTTGTTTAGTTATCTGTAACCCCGTCCCCGAGTATCTCGAAACTCTGATTATCCCAAAGTACTATTCGCTCCTTCCAACTTCGAGATAATGAGAGTTCGATGATTGAAAACTGGACCCTCTGCTGTAGGATCAATCGTTGAAAACTGGTAAACAATTTCGGTCAACCATTTGCGTTGAGAATCATACAGGACAAAAAATACAAACACATACATTTTTAACATTGGTTTATTATATTGCAAATTTTAATGTTTGACCAGACATATCATATAAATTATTTTGACAGATATGACAGTATAAATAAATAATATCTCAAATAGTTTGAGCATACAATACTCTTCATAAAATGTTTCAAAGGCTGACCAGTTCGCCTATCACAAAGTAAACAAATACTAACATGCACAGGACTAAAACAGAATCATTGCGTGGTTATATTAGCGAAAATCTAAAGCCTAAAGTAGTTTGACGGCATCGACTCTCGGAGCTCCACTTCGCTTTGACGGGCGTTGCCCGAGTAGTTTTGTTACAATGACGAAACATGACTATGTGACCTATTGCATATAAGAAGCAAAAGCGAAGAAAATGAGAATTATTTTTGTTTTTCACATTTATGAAATTTTTTTATTTGTTGTTTTATCAAAGATGGAGAAAATATGTCTACCCCAGTTTTATTGTATTACACACTTAGAATTGTACATTACGAAATTGATCTGGTGTATTTAATGTTTTATCGGTTATTAAGAATGATTATGTTAAAGAAAGACTAAAATATGAAAAGTGAAATCTAAGTTGAAGTCTACACCAGAACATGCCAATGATACAGAAACACCTTGACAGATAAAATCGTTCATTTATCATTCCTAGTATTATCACATCATTAAATGCTAAGAATTGCACAAGAAATATAACTCGTTTAACTTTGTCATTTGCCGATATGAGAGCCCAATCATGTGATCATACGGTTTCACACTATGGTTTCACACGACGGTTTCACACTATTTGAGTTTAAAAAACCCTAGACATGAAACGAAATATTGAAATCAGTAAACAATCTTTGTTCTTAGTCGACATTAACGCAAATAAAACAGAATAAATAACAACTTTAAACGAAATCAGTTTTGTTTTCTATTTCAGATTGATCCCTAAATGTGAAATGCATTGATGTAGATTTCACGACTCCATATTATAGATCTATTACAAAATCTCATAACCCCAGGTGCAAATTTCACAAGAAAAAGCTCAGGGCTGGCTCCTCGTTGTCTCCAGTAGCACCTGCACGCTATGGAAATAGCCAATAAAATTCGCGGATGCTTTCGGCCTCTTTTGTTTTTGTGAAATCAAGATCGAAGATGTCTGTTAATTCACGCCGAGATCCGACAGCTATTTAATGACTTTTGGCCACTGTGCTCGGAGCAGGTTTGCTATAAACTCGGCAATGTACACTCAAACATGCAAATAAGAACCGTTTCCGGTTTTTAAAAGATATTATGATAACATAAAAAATTCAATTAACATTTTTTTTCGAAGCAATGAGGAACATGATAGCCTTTACCCATTAGATGGTATTTTGATAGCAATCATTTTCTGTCAGGTCTTATATACCGCCCTGAGGATATTGTTCGAGCACTAAATTCTTAAATCACACTTTCTATTGCGTGGTTTAATTATGTAAGGAATTGAAACACTAAGAAAGAAACTGTGATGTTAGAAGCTGGACCCTGAACCTCTCTCGTGTATTAATTTCAAAACAGTCCTCTAACGTCTTGCCAAATAAATATTTACCTATCAAAAAGACTTTAGCGATGACGATATACATTGATGACTGCGATAGGTATGTTTTCAAGTAGCTCTCATATACATCTGTTACTTTCAGTATAACCTACAAAACAATCGTCGTCGTTTGTCATCGACATACTGTGTTAGAACAATTGCATTTATTCGTTATATATGTAAGAGAAAAAAGTTTGAGAGGATATGATTGCATTATTTAAGACTGTTTTGAAATCAACATGTACCTAAGTGATATATACACGATGATGAAGACATTGAACAGTGCACTATACACGAACCTACAGCACCATAATCGAAATAGACATGATCACCATTGAAATAAACACATGCAGCTTTATACACAGGCGTGGAATGTAATATGCAGTGGACATTATAACAAGAATTACATCTGTACAAAAATCAAGAAATTCATTCAGTCTTTCGGGAATACTGCCATGCACAACCAGACACTATATTGTTGGCCGCTATTCTATCACGCTTAGGGCTTCCAGGCGGACATACGACACCTCATGCTTCGCTCGCAACTTCAATGTACTCTGATTCAAACATTCAACCATTTCTGTGTTCTAAGTTAAAAGTGAGGCAACGACTATACACCATTGATCTATTACAGCTCGTATTTTGAAAAAATAGTATATATTTTTGCAGAACTTAAGCAGACTAATCAAGAGATGCGGCTGCAGAGTAGGTAACATATAAGGATGATTTGGGTCGTGGTAACGCTGCTCCATGTAAACAAGAATATATAAACCATGTTTTAAGGACATTAAAACCTTTTTTGTTTGTTTTAGCTCATTTATGTGATGCTATTAAGTAATAACACATTTGAATATGATTAATTTCGATATCTTTCGTGCCGCTTTACAAATTTCGATTAATAAAATAAACACAAAAAATACGGCAATACAGAAAAAAATATTAAAGATTTGCCCAGGGTTACAAATATTTTAAAAAATGTCTAAAAAGTAAACTGTACCCAAAACATCGTTTGACTACATAAGTACAATTGACAAAAACACTCAGTTTCTATTTTGAGAAGAGGGGTACTGGCTGTATTAATATGATGTAACGCGCGCAACATTGTTTAAGAGAAGTTTGAGTCTTATAGTTGTGCATGGCAACATAAGGTCACACTAACTCATTCAAAATCAACAATTAATCAACCAATGGTCTACACACGTCTCTGAAAGAAATACAGCTAATTGTCATGAAGTTGTTCTCTTTATAAACAGTTGCAAAAATCATCGGTGGGAATATTGTTTATGTCACGTGACAGGTGTGTGTGGTCTATGGTCACTCTGGTTGAATGACCGTCATGACGTCGAACCTAATCTTTACGATCGTTTCAAAATACGTAAGGCAATTCGTTCACTCACATACACCACATTTGACGTTAAGTGATTTTGAAAAGGACTAATAAGTTGCCAAATAATAACATTGATTCTCGTTGGATGTTTTTTTAAACCTTGAGAAAAGGCATTTGTGAAATTCAAGGGGTCAGTTTAATGACTTTCACGCACGAGTGTTGTCATGTTTTGCCCCCGAACGACAATTAACGACAAAGGTATCTTTTCCTGAACGTTATTTCATGACAAACAACATTCATTTGTTATTGACTGGTCATGGTGACGTCCATTACATGTTTAGTATTGTCCATATATGGGCATATTTCTGGCAAGGAAGCTGCACGTTCTAGTGAAAAGAATTCAAGCGAAAGAAAAAGTCCTTTGAAAATAATGTTGTAGACTTCAAAGATGGTGTCGACACAGTTGAAGAGTTGTGCCCCTTGACACCACACCCGGTTACCTCGACGCCATATTGTGTCCATGTCGTCACTTCCGGTTTCACTGACGTATTTCAGTATTTGCATTTTTCCACTCGTCGCTGGCATTCCATTTCGACACAAACGAAATGAAATTAAAAGATGATAGATATAACAGCTAGACACAAAATATTTAACGTGCGTCGTGGCACAAACTTAACGTGGGAACTGATAAGCCTTCTAGTCCAAGTTGGCATGAATTCTCATTGCCTTTTTCGAATTGTATCTCTCGCATTCGTTTCTTTTGCTTCATTCGCCGGTTTTGAAACCAGATTTTCACTTGTGTTTCATTGAGCCCTAACGCTGCCGCTATCTCAATTCTTCTTGCGCGTGTGAGGTATTTATTAAAATGAAATTCTTTCTCCAGCTCCGTTAACTGTTTATTTGTAAAATTGGTACGGCCCGATGCTCCTCCTTGCTGTTGCTGCTGCTGTGATGGTGCTGTGTATCCATACTCGCCAGGTTTCCCAGCTGAAAAAAGAAAAGAACGAGAAAAAAATCAATTCTTTTGATGAATGATACGTCATTCTGTCTGACTGAGAGATACATCATTGGTGACGGGGAAAAGCGATCTGAAAGCGACAACACTCCATGCAAACTGTGACACTTCTATGATGAGTTATTAATTGAATAATGGCACACTAAATGAGCGCTAATTTCCTAATTACTCATTCATCAATTTGGACTTCCTAGAGAGGAGAGCCTAGGCGATATTTATATCACTTTAACGCCTGGTCTTGTGAAAACGACACCACGTCTACGGCCTGGGTGCTGTGATATATTTCAAAATGTACATCTTATTGTCATTATCGCCCTGTAAATTTCCGCCTCGTCACAGACAGCGGTGGTGGATCTAAAGGAAACAGGTTGTTAATTACGAAATTGAAATGAGAGAATTTGCAATAGACAAGATTCCTTCACGGCTGTCAATTACGTCTTAGTGCTCTGTTAATGAAGGCACACATAACAGGCTGAGAAACTGTTACAAATGTGACATCTCTTTGTTATACCGTAATGGATGAGTTCGCAAGTCAGTTTCAATGATGCCTTGTCAATATCTGTCACGCGTAGAGTTCCCTTACTAAGCTCTGACGCATGCGCCGTTGTCGATGTCAGATATACACATGTTCATTTCAAAGTCTACCGAACATAATATGTTCACACCCTTTTCTTTCCGAGATTACAATTATCTTTGGTCAAATATACAAATAATTCCAAAATAAAATGAGTCGTTAAGACATAAATTAATATATGAAAACTAACGAATTAAAACATCTCTCAATGAAACAAGCGTTGTCATCACACGCCATGTAATATATATTAAAAAGGTTTCTGATTGCAAAACACAAAAAGTTATTGAAATGTGTTTGATCACATTGAAATGAGACTAAAATGAATTTGAATCTATTTTCCAAGCGTTAGACCAACATGACCATTGGCGCATTACAAGCGCTATTTGTAATGAAATGAAATAAATAGCTATATTAAGATATATTAGTGTATATGACATGCAAAAGGCCTAACCTAACCACGGAGTCTCACTTCAGGGTAGTTAACATAGCAATGAAAATCGTGGAACGGAATCTAGGCTTGGACACACATTTAGCCCTCTCTAGTGTTATACCAGGGTATCGGCGTGACTGTAAATATTGTTCCTATTCCTTGATTCTTTGAACTGAAGTGTTTGACAACACCAAACCATTACATGGATCATTTTGTATGAAATAAATTGAACTAAAGTGTGAACTAAGAGTTAATACGGCCTGCAAACACAGCTGTATCTTCATCGTCAACAGCGGCTCCTAATAAAACGTTCTTGCGTAATACATTAACGGTTTTGACTAACAGTTAGTATTCAATAAACTTGTACACTTGTACGCATTCACAGAATGTACACATTAGTATCAATAGTCAAATACCGTTTTGACATCAACATAAGAATGTTTTGTAGATTCAGACTTTGAGATTTTTTAACTTCTCAATTACAGAATCTATCATATATATTTTGTTTTAAAATCATAAGGTAATACTCGCATACAATATAGAATCAGATGTCAGTTTTATTTGTTTTAAAATTATAGTAATTTATGTAGGCGAGGAACTTGAGTAATTTTCTTTACACTCAAAGATTTATCCTGCGAAGGCGCTTATTTGTCATTCTTAACGTCTCGATCAGACAATTTTATTTCAATGACGCAGCCCTGTTTGTAAACATTATGCTTCTTGTGGCTATTACGATGTCATGATAAAACGCCCGTTTTGCATTTTTATACAATTTGATTGAAACGCGTGCCAAATTGTACACGTTAATTTGAGAGTAAATCTGATAGTAAAATCTGTTTAAGGCTGCATGCGTAATCTAATACAGTGTCTATTGTGGTTTAACAGAAATAATGGATGGTTTGTATAACAATATTCAAAACTCAATGTGATACGAATTCAAAGAAAAAAAATAAATGGAAAATTCAGGAAAGATGACTCGAACGACGCGTGTTTTATATAACGCCCAATATGCACATTTATGGAATCATATTTAGTTAAGATTCGATATCGCGAAAATTATAATATTATACAAACATTGTCATTGATTCCTATATCAAAGACAATATTGAAAACCATAATCATAAAATATAAAGGAATGTGATATAGTATCTAAAATAGCAATATCATATGTAATGTCCCAGAATTACACAGCTTCTGTCCATGCAAAGTTAAACTAAAGTGCAGCGATGTCATTCAAAATGAAATTAATCGCCTACGTAGATTAATGTTACACGAGCTTTCAAAGTAAACAGGATAGCTAACTATTAATTAAATAGCAACGCAGGCTCAGCATGATGGATTGACCAGCTTAATAAACAAACCCAAGTGCCAAAGAAATTTAAGCCACAAAAGTACGGTATTTCGCTAACAATAGCCTAATATTCGTACATATTAACGCTATTTGAGTTTCACTAAAGGCGATAGCAATACGAATATTAGACACTGAAATATTTCTTGTCAATTGTCTTTTCGGTGGAATGAACATAAGTGCAATATTAAGATATATTATAAACATATTCTAACTCAACAAAGATATTCTTTTAAATATTAATTAATGAATTGTTTACATATGAAACAAATTGTAAATCAGTGATGATTGGAAATTTATGAAGGTTACTTATTAATGCGTTTTCTAATTGAAAATATAGCAAGTCTATTGTCCATATAAATTCATAAGCGATTGTTTTAATAGGTTTTGGTTAATAAAATTACCAAAAGTATCATATATTCCATAGTGCATAATCTTTTAGTTAATATCCAAATCACAATGTATTAAATACGTATATTTTCTCTGAAATCTCATCACGACTATCATGCAACTTTCACAAATAGAATTCGATGCATATTCAGTCGTTTGAATTAAATAATCTTCTTTCCATGAGATCAAATGGTTTTGTAACAGTATAATCCTGCAGATTTTCATTTCGAAAAATGAAACATTTATTTCGTCTTTTTAATGCAGTTTTCCTGTCTTCATTCGGGTGACATTAGAATTCTAACGAGTGCAAATGAACATTTTGTACACCGAGTTAAGCTGTCAGGCTACGAAAGGGAAGGGCTATCATTTAATTGATCAATTCACTTTAAACCAGTATCATTCATCATGTGCGCGAGTTAAATCGCGAGCTGTAGATGTTAATTCACCACAAGCACGGTAAACACATGCAGTTAGTGAACGTGGAACATTTGTCTTCCGACGCCGATTGCAACTGTTCCAAGACCAACCGTTGTTGCTATCAAAACATATCAATTACACGATCGGCGTAAAAGCGATGGCCGATCTATAATTGTATCTTTGCAATGGACAATTAGGTTTTGGCGGGGACTATGCCAAAAGCCATTGAGACCCATGCAGCGTAATAGAAATGTACAAGGTTTGATTTCAATCGCGCGCGAACAGGTGCCGCTCGTGCTGAAACTGACATGACTCTGTCATGCACGTGCAGAATGACCAAGTCGGATAGAATTGCATTTACCTCCACGAGAATAATGAAATGAAATGACAAGGCGACAAAAAACCTTAAAGGCTAATGAAGCGAGCAATTTTGCTCTTCTGCCTTCCAGGGTACGATATTCTCGTCAGAATGTAATTAGAAAATAGGATTAATCTACTGACAGTGTTATCAGCTGAAAACAGACTCGTGCTTTTCACATGTCATCAACTCAATGCTATTGAGTCAAAGTGAATTTTTAAACTCCGTTACGTTTTGGTCAGGCCAGACGTAAAATTAACCACACGCGCTTCAAGAGGTACTAGCATTGCCATGGAATATCTCAATCATTCAACCAGCTTAATCCACGACACGAATATAAACCCATCTGAATATTATATTGATATGAATATAATTTCACTTTCAAATTAATCAAAATTTAAATTCACGTAATCGATCGTATTCAAATATGATTGAAGATAAATATTCAAGAGCAATGTAACATCCGAACATCTGGTGACAAGTTTCAATCTCAAGATTTAACAGTTTTGTTCATTTCTATTGTGTACCTATATTCCCAAATAGGCTTAACAAACCAAGACATCACGTAAACAAAAGTATGCAGAATATTTGAATCACTTTTAAAACTGTCTTCAAATTTATCAAAAAAATCGAAAAAATTTATTTGATGTTTTGCATGTGTCAAAGAACCTAAGTATTGGCGTATACGTCAAAGGTCAATAGAAACATCAAGATATGTACGAGTACGTTCAAAGTATATCATCTATCATCGATCCACTGATCAATCAATAATGATCATAAGCTTAATTAGTGAGGTTGCATGAAATTATTTTTTGATGTATTGGTGCAATCAAACCAAATATTTGGCCGCAAATTGATTCATCATGGTTGATAGATATATTGGTCAGTTACATTTGGCATATGGAATGTAAATGTTAAATTGTTGACATAACTAGCATATCATCAATTGCACGTTACGAATTCTTGGCATATCTACCTCATACCGATTTCATTAGTGTGGGAAGAGATTATACTTTTCGATTCATCCCTGTCAAAATTCACCAATATCATAAAAAAATGTTTAAGGCGATTGACATTTTTTAATGTTCTGACTGATATGTCATATCTCTCCACTAAATAGTTACAATCGAAGTGAATACTGATATTAATGCATATCCACACATGTTAATAAACCACTTTGCTATCTGAACATGCTTACTTTGAAAACTAATATTATTTGTTAGCAAACAAAGACGGTTTGATATACAGTGTGATTCATGTTAAATAAGAGTTACTTAAACAAACAATATGATGACGAAATATTTATACATTATCCTTTGAATGCTGTAAACGCTTATTATCATACATCGAGGTTAGTTCATGCATATAGTGCCGACACATCAGTTGCATTTTAGAATGATAATTTTACGTATAACTTACATTTGATATAATCAGTTAGTTCTTCGAACCTATTGA